CCGCCACTCTGCCATTCCACATCGCTGCTGGCTGCGGCTGCTGCTGCTGCTGCTGCTGCAGCTGCGCCGGCAGAGGCGAGACCCCAGGATATGCGCCTGGCATCATCCCAGGCACTCCATATGGTGGCCCCGCCCCGTACGGCGCCGCCAGCGGCGCGCCATAGGGGGCCCCATAAGGGATTGGTGCACCGTATGGCATGCCCATGCCACCCAGGCTGCCTGTGCCCCCTTGCTGCCCCTGCTGGAGCCGAGGACTTTGGTAAGCGCCGCTGGAGGGGGGCAGGGCTGCACGCATGTCCCCAACCAAATCAGAGAACTGAAGGCCATCATTGCTGGCCCGCAGGCCGGCCGCCTGCTGCTGCTGCTGCTGCTGCTGCTGCTGCTGGGACTGCTGCTGCGGCTGGAAACGCGCGGGCCCCTGCTGCGCGCCCAAGGGCGAGGAGGGCCCGCCGTAAGCACTGTTCGACACGCCACCAAACGGCTGCAGCGAAGGCGGCGCGCCATAGCCGGGCGGCGCGCCCTGCGGGGAGGGCCAGTAGCCGGTGGGCACAGCCATCCCATATGGCTGCTGCTGCTGCTGCTGCTGCTGCTGCTGCCCCGGCTGCAGCTGCTGCTGTTGCTGTGGGAATACGGCGCCGTAGGGCATTGCAGCGTACATCTGCGGCCTCGCCACAAACGCCGGGGCGCCAGGTACGCCCAGCCCGCTGCCAGGGAATCCAAAGCCGCCGCCACCTGGCACCAGCCCCACAGGGGCGTGCGGGCCGCCGCCAAAGCCGCCGTCGCTGAACAAGTCCTGTGCAGGTGGTGTATCAGAGATGGCCGGGGGCCATTAGTAAACGCGATGGAGGGCAAGTATGGGGCAGCTGGGTGCGGCAGTCTGGCCCTGGGTAACGGCCTAGCATTGCAGCAGCGAGGGCAGGAGCGCAGCGGCAGCAGCCCCGTGCTGCGCCCAACGCTGCAGACCAAAACGTAGCGGCCGAAACGGCGCCCCAGCACTCACCGAAGGCAGCTCCCTCGTCTTGCCGCCCTGGCCGCCCTTCGGCGTCCCCGCCGGCCCCGCCGCCCCCGCCGCCGCCGACGGCGTCCCCGTGCCGCTCCTTGGTGCCGCGGCCGCGGACGGGGAGGGGGAGGCCGCCACTGAAGCTGTGGACACAGAAAGCGCGGCGGCGGGGGTGGCAGTGAAGGAAGTAAAGGAAGATGAGGCCGCGCTCACTGGGGCTGGCGGCGGCCCCGCAGCTGCAGCAGGGGCAGCCGGCGTCGGCGCCGGCGCCGGCGCGGTCTGCACGGGCGCGGCCGCGGGCGCGGCCGGCTCGTCAAAAGCCGCCCACGCGTCGGCGTCCGGCGCGGGCGCGGGGGCCGCCGCCGCTGCCGCTGGGTGCGCGCGGGGCGCTGCCGCCGCCGCTGGGGGCGCGGGGGACGCTGCCGCTGCCGCTGGGGGCGCAGCGGCGGCAGGTGGGGCTGCGGGTGTCGAGGGCGGCGACTGGAAGTTGGCCCAGTCGGCGCCGCTTGAGGCCCAGGCGGGGCTGGCTGCCTTCGGCGGCTGTAGCTGTGGCTGCGGCTGCGGCTGTGACTGCAGCTGCGGCGCCGCAGCGGCCGGCGGCGGCGAGAACGCAGCCGCTGCAAAGAGCCTGCCTGGGGACACCGGCGCAGCCGCCGCGGGCGCCGCCACCTGCACGGCGGGGGGCGCCGCGGCCAGCACGGACTGCGAAAATGGATCGAACGCGGACGGCGGGGCGGCGGGGCCGGGCGCGACCGGGGCAGCAACTGCAGCGGGGGATGCGAGGACGGACATGGCTGCCATGGAGGGCGCCGGGCCGTTATCAAAGTCCAGCAGGTCAAATACTGGCCTCGCCGCCACCTTTGGCGGCGCCGCGACGGGCCCGGCCGCCAGCTGCGTCGGCGACGCCGGCTGCGGCAGTTTCCGTGCGTCGGCCGCCGGCGCGGCGGCCGCTGCAGCCGGCGCGGCCCCCGCCTGCCCGGGGGATGCCGGCGGCTGCGGCGACGGGGAAGGCGGCGTGGGCGAGGCGGCCGGCTGGCCGGCGGCGGCGCCGGGCGTCGACCCCTGCCGCTCCCGCACCTGTCAAACGGCAGCAGGGGGTGAAGGCGAAAGGATGCTGGGCCGCCACTTGCAGCCTTGCGAAAGGAGCCTGCCCAGCGGCACACGCACGGCCCCGCAAACCAAAGCCGCCGCCAACATCACGGCCCAATGCCGCGACCCCACCAGTCGGCGGCCCAGCGGCTGGTCAGGACGCAGGCGCGCCGCCGCCCTGGCCCCGCCTCCAACATCGCCGCGCCCGCCCACTGCAACCGCGCGCAGCGCTAGCGCGCCGCGACAAGCCCGCCCCACCTGCAGCGAAATCGACCGGGGTCCCAGCAGCTCCCGCACGTCGCGCACGGGCGGCATCCCCGCTTCGCCGCCAGGCAGCGGCTGCGGGCACGCGCAGCGGGGCGCAGAGCACGCGGCGCCAGGGTGAGCGCATGGAGGACAAGGGCGCATCGGGTCGCAGCCGCGGCTGGTGCAAGGGCGGCAGCGGCGCGGACATTCGGCTGGGTCGGCGCAGTGGAAGCTCACCAGGCGCCCGATGCTGCGTGACCCCGCGCCTGACAGCGTCGGCTTCAGCGCGAGGCCTGCGGCGGTGGCGGCGCCGTCGGCGGTCGCGTCGCCGCCGGTGGACGACGGCCGCCGGGATGGGATAGGGGCGTCTGCACTGTAGAAACGCTTTTCGACAAAGACTGTCTGGACCCACGCCTTGATGCGCTGCGGGTTCCTGTCGAGTTGTGGTGTGACGTGGGGGGGATGCAGGCGCACGGTTGAGCGGCGAATCCGTCGCCAGCGCGACGTGGCTGCATGCTGAGCACGCCTGCGAATCGGCCGCAAAGGCCCCTCAGCTCCTGTGCATGCAACTTCTGAGCCCGCTACTTGCTCGGCGCCAGCAGCCGCGCGCGAGCGGTGCGCGGGGAAGCGCGCGTGCTGCCTGCTCACTTGTCCACCGGGCGCTTGAGGTCGCGGTCGGGCGTGTAGCGAGCGAGGTAGCGGTACGCCGCCACCTTAAAAGCGCGAGGATGGGGAACGCGGTGAGGCCGTGCCGCTGACGAGCCCGCCGCCAGCGGTCGTTTTGGGGCGGAAGGCCGCACGCGCCGCGAGGCTCGAGTGCGAATGCGCGTCTGCTTTTCCTGCTGCCTTGCGGAGCACCCCCAGCGGGCGTCGGGCCTCACCTGGTTCCCACCCTCGGTCATAGCGTCCAGCTCCTCCGTCTTGAAGTCCGCAAGCGTGACAGACTTCACGCGGTGGCCGAATTGCATGCTGCGGTGGTCGGCGGCAAGGCGATCGACAAGCGTGTGCCCCCCACGGTTTGGTCAGCGCCGCGCGTCAGCTGCGACAGTGGGCAAGGCACCCAGCAAGTCCCTGGTCAGCAGGGATCCGACCATGTTGTCCCATGAGCTATCAAGCGCGCTTGGGGTGACGTGCACTCACTGGAACCCGCTGCAGTCTGTGCACACGAACACGCTGAACTGGGGGACGTAGTACGTGGTCCCCAGCGACTCGCAATCGAAGCATCGCTTGTTATCGGGGAGCTGGCGAAGCTCCTTGAGCCGCTCAGCGGCCCTCTTCTTTGGAACGTTCATGCTGCCTGTTTCCAAACCAAGCTTGAAGCTGCTCAATCGGATCAAATAAAGTGGTCAACTGGACGATCAACGCAACCTGAAACATCTCCAGCCAGAGTGGTTTCGGTGAGTGCGAGTTGAGGGCGAGGGAGTCACCGCGAGAGTCTATGGGGTTGTGCGGTTCTATCGACCACCATATGTCATAGGTAACATGTGCACTAGTTTATTCATTTACGTAACCTACACAGCTTACATTCGGCCTGGTTACACAGCCGGTGCACTGGTACTATTACACGGGATCAAGCCCACAAGGAAGAACACAGAGAGACCCTTATCTGGAGGCCGACTGGGGTGCGGCGGGCTGCAGGCAGAAGACTTCAGTGGTGTGCAGCGCACCCCTGCACTGCCGCTGCGCTGCCGCTTTGGTGCTCCAGTCCTGGCGATTGGACCAGCGGGCTTAGCGCACTCGCCGAGGCGTGCGTGCCTGCACCCTCATTGCTGTTCAGATGCATCAGGGGTGAGCTAGGTAGCCCCCGGGAGCTCAGCAGCAACCGCAGCGCTGACGGCGCGGCCGCACGGGCATCATGGCCGCCTCAGGTCAGTCCAGTGCCCACAGTCACCACGCCCGGCGGTGGGGCTCCACGCGGCAGGCGGCCGCCCTGCTGCTGGCGGTGCTCGCGTTGATGGTGCTGGCTGGGGCATGGCGCAACAACAGATGGCTGATGACAAGCGGGGTGAACCAGGCCGAGGTCGTCTTCAAGCGCCACAGCCTGCACAGCAGCCTCCACAACAGCAGCGGCGGTTCAGCGGGCGCTGGTAGCAGCAGCGCCTTGGTTGAAGGTGACCACAGCGGCGGAAGTGGCGGCAAAGGCGGCCCCACCCGCAGCAGCAGCAGCGGCGGCGGCAGCAGCAGTAGTATTGGCAGCGCTATGGCGTCGAGCAATGCCATCAGCAGCAGCAGTCCTCACCTGGGCCACAGCGCCAGTCAGCGGGAGTTCGCCACCAGTGCGGCCAACCGCAACAGCAGCACTAGCAGCCGCAGTAGTGCTAGTAGCATCATCACCAGCAGCAGCTCCAACAGCACCAGCACCAGCACCAGCACCAGCACCAGCACCAGCACCAGCACCAGCACCCGCAGCAGCACCAGCACCAGCACCACCAGGAGCAGCAGCGCCCCTGCTCCTAGCAGCGGCGACCGCGGCAGTGGCAGCAGCAGCAACTCCTCCGCCAGTGCCAATTCAGGGATCGGCGGTGCTGGCGGGCAAGGCAGCAGCGGACCGGCGAAGCGTGCGGGGCCTGTGCGGCTCTATGCTGTAGGCAGCTATTACAAGCACGAACCGGTGTGCCCCCCCGGCACGGAGAGGCCAGGGGTGGGCTGCGACAACGTGCCCTGCCCTGTGCCGTTCGAGTGGAGCGACGACAGGCTGCACGCCGATGCAGGTGGGGCGGGGCAGGCACAGGCTGGGCATATACATTCCTGAATGCATACGCGGCACCCACTGCAGCATGTGCGCCGCAGGGCCCTCGGGGGGAAGCCCTCCCTTCACACCCGGCGGCGGTTCCGCTGACTCCCTCTACATTTTTACTAGTTCGTACGCTCTTCACACCTCAACCACCCCCCTTGAACCATCGCATCCCTGCGCGACATGGGTATGACGTCACGATGCCATCACAATTGTCCAGTCGTGTACAACACCCTGAACGGCATGGACGGCTACCCAGGGGAACGCGCCCACCCCAAGCAGTGGCTGGCCATGTTCTCAATGGAATCAGGCCTGTATTACAACGACATCTATACCGCAAAGTCCGACCACGGCTTCAATCTCAGCGCCGGTGCGCGCCGCAGCTCAGTCGAGCCTGTATTCCAGACACCTGCGAGGCCTGTTTCAATATGAAGGTATTTGTCACTGCTGCCTCCTGCCTGCAGATTACCGGCTGGCGTCGGACGTGCCTGTCCCTTACTACACGCGGGCTGAGCTGGGGGACCTCCTGGATCGGCCTGTGCCTTTTGAGGAGCGCCGGAAGGTGCGCCGTCCTGGGGATGGAGTCTTGGGGCCGCGGCACGAGGGGGAGGGGGGTTTTAAACCGGGGGGTGCGCGCCGCGGAGCAGGACGGGCAAGTGGCACCAGGCTCGAGAGGAAGAAGGGAGCGGCAGCAGGCGTCGCGTTAGTGTAGTTGCTGAGGGTCCGCCAGGCCTCTGAAGCTGCCGGCGCGCCGCGAGCGTGGCAAGGCGGGTCCACAATCTGCCGTCGCCGTGCGGGCTGCCGCCGCTCGCCGTGGCAGCTGCTGTCGCTGCTGCGCCACCACCGCAGCCGCCGTCGCAACCATCTTGGACTGCCGCTGCCGCCGCTCCTCAGGACGGGCTGGTCGCCGCGTTCATATCCAATTGTGGCGCCAAGAACAACCGCCTCGAGGTGCTGGGTGACCTGATGAAGGTCAGCGCAGGGTGTGTGCCCTGTGGGGGCAATTGCTGGGGCGCATTGCGTTTTTCATTGGCGTCAAGCACGGCCGGACCCGTGCGCCCGTGCGTTGCAGACTCGCTGACATAAGGGGGTGGGGTGAAAGGAGCCGTGATGTGACTTGGGACTCGGCGCACTTAGGAAGCTAGCGTGCTGTTTGTCGACGTGCCGCGCCCGCGCCGGCCACCTCAGCTGCTCCCAGGTCAGGTCCATTCTTACGGCGCCTGCCTGAACAACAAGGAGGAGGTGGAGGACAAGAGGGTGAGGGAGGGTCACCCTGGGTGCCTTGAGGGTGGGGCGCTCTGGATGTCATGCGATCCGCGGCAAAGCCCGGCCTGCCGCCTCGTCCCCTCAGCATGCAATGTTGCGCCTCGTCCCCTCAGCCACGCCGGCGCGCCCGCCATGCACGCGGCTCAAAAGGGCGGCTTGGGTGCGCTTTAAGTGTGCGTTTGCACGCAAGGCAACGGCTTTGCTCTCTCCTGCAGTGATGCGTGATTCGTGCCCACCCAACCCTTTAGCTCAGGCCCTCTCACACCATCCAATGAGATCACCGTGAGTCGCATCGCACCCTGCTATTTGCCATCCACCACCCACCGCCCACAACCTCTGACCTGCAGCCCGCAACCCTGCTCATCAAAACCCCCTCCTGCAAATCCCATCAAAACCGCAACACCCGTGCAGCCAACTTTTGCCAAGTACAAGTTTGCGTTCACCCCAGAGAACTCCAATGACGAGGGTTACGTCACCGAGAAAATCTATGATGCCCTCATAGCAGGTGGGCGCCTCACCAGCTCTGAATTGGATGCTGAACTTCTTGCGGAAGGTTGTTCGCACACTATAAATGTTGTATAAATACATACAAATATGACTATACAGAAGTGTGTGGGGGGCCACCAATATACATATACACATGTACATATATTACTACGTTGCTTGATCCGCAGGTGCTGTCCCTATCTACATGGGTGCACCCAACATCGACCACTTTGTGCCCGTCCCAGAGGCAGTCATCAAGGTGTCTGACTTCAACAGGTGCGTCTGTGTGTGGGCAAGCGGGACAATCTTGCATACTGTTCCAGCTGTGCAGGCCCCAACCCTGGCATGCTCCCAGTTGCCAGCGCCTCTGTCTGCACCATCTTTTTTAAACCAGCAAAGACTCATCTATTTCCCATCGTCTGACCCGCAGTACCAAGGAGCTGGCTGATTACATACAGAGAGTGGGAGCTGACGAGCAGCTGTTTAAGAAGCACATAGCTTGGAAAGACCTGCCCCTCTCGCAGCGCAGTGAGGTGGGTTCATGGCGGTCTGACGCCTGGCCGAACCCAGGCGTTCCCCACCTGCCTGCCCCACCTCCTGCGGAAGCTTCCGCCCTCGACGCGGCTTAAGCTGTGTGCCTGCTGTTCAAACTAGTCACACACACACACATACTTACGGTTTCTCTATATTCAATTGAACCCCTCCGATTCATCGCTGCTATTCCAAACCCCTCTGTTTCTCGATATCAGGGCTGGCAGGAGTTGATGGAAATGCAGAGGTACAGCGCGGTCTGCCGCATGGCCATGCACATTGCAGGCCAGCCGCACAAGTGGCGCAAGGCGGATCAAGTGCAAGCACAGCCGCACCACCGGCGATTGCTCGAACTGCAGCGGCAACGGCGGCGGCGAATGCGGCGTAGGGGCATTGGCATTGAGTGGTGATGAGGGTCGAAACAGTGACTGAAACCACCATAGATTTTGCCACATTTTACTCCGCACTCCTCCCTCCATAACCTCCACATCGCGCCGCCAACAAGACCCATTGGTTTTCTCCTGTATCTTGTATGTCTGTATGTGATCGAACATTGTGCATTCAAACGTACAACCTTGGACTGCCAGCCATGGCCACGGAAATGCCAACCCCGGGGTGGTTGACCATGGCCTGCTGAGAGCGCAACAGCAGTGCGAGGTGAGGGCATGTATGCCTGTCTGCCTGGCGGGTGATCGCGACAGCGGGCGGAACCCCAACACGCAGGTGTGTCCGTGCTGACAGCCCCACAGCTGCCGTTGCGCTGACACATCATTGTGCAGGGTCGGCGTCGGATCAGCTGCCTCAAACCCCTTACTTGGATAAGCGCGACCCATGTTCTACCTATACGTTGTCATGACGGCGCTCTTTACGGTACCTTGGTACGCAAGTACAATACCGATCGATCTGACGCTGTTTTTCTGATCAAGAGGCGATATGGCAAAGTTAAACGAAGGGTGGGATTGGGATGATGAACTGGATGTTGCCATTGGCTCCCAGGGGCCAGCAATCGGCGCGACGTCCGCACCGGTGCCCGCGGCTACTGCACCGCCCATCGCGCCCGTTCCAGCTCGAGCAGCAGTACCCGTGCCGGTGGTGCAGACCGCTGTGCCGACAGCCCCTGCGTCCCATCGAGCGGCACATGGGGGCATCGGTATTGCCGCTGCTGCTAGCTACGGCGAGGGCAGCGCAGGCAGTCCTGGGGCACCATCGGCTCCTCTGCCCGCGTCGCCGTCACCACTGTCATCAACAGCGCGTGCCTCAACCCAACAGCTGGTGCAAGCCCCACAGCAGAAGGAAACAGATCGGAATGCTGATCAGCAGCTGCAGCCGCCGCCGTCGCCGCAGCAGCAGCAGCAGCAGCAAGCAGGCCAGATGCCAACTGCACCGCACCACCCTCAGCAGCAGCAGGCACAACGGCCCCCACTAGCTCACCAGCAGCCAGCCACGGCCCCGCGCCGACCACATGCGCAGCAGCGCCCGCCCCTCGCCCCGCAACGCCCAAGCGGCCGCCCCGCGCCTGCTCCCGCCGCCGCTCCCTCGGCTGCGCCCACGCCCGCGCCCGCCCGCGCCGCCGCCGGTGCGCCGGCCGCCCGCCTGCGCGGCTGGGGGCTGCAGCTTCCCGGCGGCTTCGCCCCAGGGCTGGCCCAGATCGGCTCGAAGCTGCAGAGCGCGGCGCGCAGCGCGGCGCAGGACGCGAGGCAGCTGGCGGGCCTGGTACAGGAGCGGCTGGCAGAGGCCTCTGCAGACCAGGCGTCGGAGGTCGAGAGGCTCTCGCGCTACCAAGCGCCACGCGACCCCCCAGAC